TGCATGAACTTGTTGCTAGTATTCCCTAGAAAAATTTTATGAGGTACAAAGAAATATTGATGCACCTGAATCGCCTAAAACTGACTGTTTACATTTACCGCGAGATTTTGAAATTTTCCTAAAATTCGGGGTAAATGTAAACACCACTGAAGTTAAGCGAGGTTTAAGAAACAAGTTATTTCAAGTATACTACTGTTTTAAGGGATGGAAAAACTGAAAAAAATTCTTCGTAGATGTATAGTAAATCAACCAGTTGACTGATAATGTATCATATAAATAAACAATCAACCATTACAAAATTAGTATAATCCCAGTAAAAAAAAACTAATTCAAATGAATTGAAACGAATTAACATTTTTGGTAGGCTCCAATTCGTATTTGTCACAAAGCGGGATTCACTCAAGCTCTTTGTATATTCAATTGAATTTAATTCAATATGTACCAATTTGTCCAAACGAATTCGCATTCGAAAGAAATGGCCAAGGAATGCATTGAATTCGTGCTAACGAATTGAAAAAAATTAAAGGCTCAAAACTTGTCCAGTGAATTGGTACGGATAGAAGGTTCGGAAGTTCAATACAGTTTCACGAATTCAGGAAAATTGCATCATGGCTCCAATTCGTATTTGTCACAAAGCGGGATTCACGAAAGCTCTTTGTGAATTCTTTTTAATTCATTTCAATTAGTTTTCGTTTACTGGGCTGACATATTTGATAATTTCACAGAGTTCTGTCATAATATATTTTAAATTTAAATAAAGAAATTAATAATTGTCGGAATGTACATTTTTATGAGCTATTCTATCAAGTAAGATTCAAAATAAATTTTGTAATTATTTTGAAAAAATTAGGCGTATATTTCAAAATGAAAATAATAATTTTTTAAAAATCGCAATAATTGTGTCACTCGCAGGAATACCCACACTTACCCTACATTAAAAAAAAATGTTGATAAAATTCTTGAAATGAATTCAATTATTTTCAAATTTTTTTATAAATACTTTGCAAGAATTCAATGATTTTCAGAACATTAATTTTAAAATTAAAAACATTTAGGGTCAATTGGGGTAAATGTAAACGGAATATCTATGTTTCACCAAAAACATTAGTTTTTTTTTTAAAAGGTAAAACGGAAGGATTTCTTTTGCATGAACTTGTTGCTAGTATTCCCTAGAAAAATTTTATGAGGTACAAAGAAATATTGATGCACCTGAATCGCCTAAAACTGACTGTTTACATTTACCGCGAGATTTTGAAATTTTCCTAAAATTCGGGGTAAATGTAAACACCACTGAAGTTAAGCGAGGTTTAAGAAACAAGTTATTTCAAGTATACTACTGTTTTAAGGGATGGAAAAACTGAAAAAAATTCTTCGTAGATGTATAGTAAATCAACCAGTTGACTGATAATGTATCATATAAATAAACAATCAACCATTACAAAATTAGTATAATCCCAGTAAAAAAAAACTAATTCAAATGAATTGAAACGAATTAACATTTTTGGTAGGCTCCAATTCGTATTTGTCACAAAGCGGGATTCACTCAAGCTCTTTGTATATTCAATTGAATTTAATTCAATATGTACCAATTTGTCCAAACGAATTCGCATTCGAAAGAAATGGCCAAGGAATGCATTGAATTCGTGCTAACGAATTGAAAAAAATTAAAGGCTCAAAACTTGTCCAGTGAATTGGTACGGATAGAAGGTTCGGAAGTTCAATACAGTTTCACGAATTCAGGAAAATTGCATCATGGCTCCAATTCGTATTTGTCACAAAGCGGGATTCACGAAAGCTCTTTGTGAATTCTTTTTAATTCATTTCAATTAGTTTTCGTTTACTGGGATGTAAAAACTTGAATAACTTAAACAAATTTTAATAGATTTTCATTCAACTTGGTAAAAAGAAGTTTTTAAGGTTGCTGAATAAAAATCTAAAATCGAATTTTTAAATTTTAAAATGGTGGATCCAATATGGCGGATGAACCTAAAAATAATATTTTTAAAAATTGATCAAATTTCTTTGAATCTGGTTACTAGGTGGTTTTTGAGGTCGCTGAATACGAATTTGAAGTCAAATTTTAAATTTTCAAAATGACGGATGAACCTAAAAATATTTTTAAAAATTGATCAAATTTAAAAAAAAAAATTTTTTTTTTATCAAATTTTTTTTTTCAAAGAGGACCTAATTTCCTTTTCTATGTAATTTTACATTGCCAAATTAATGAAATTGTGAAATAGAAGCAAATTTATTCAATTATTTTCTTTTAAAATGTAGTTCAAGTTATGTTTACATTTACCCCGAGTTTTCGAATTCTCGGGGTAAATGTAAACACTTAATTATTTATTACCTAAATTGACGAAAATCAAAAATCAAAGTCAATTTTTGTTAGGGCATTAATAAGGAAGAATTACATATTTTTGTTTGATTTTTAAATTTATTTTTATGCAAATGCGAGACAAAATACTGAAACAGTAAAATTTTGATTTTCAATCTTTTTTGCATTAAAAGATAACTTAAACTATGGCATTGCCAATTGTCAAAATAAAATATTGGCAATACTCAGAACATCTCGAGGGGGTATTTTCTTGCGTATTGGAGTGTACACATTCCTGGTAATAACTATGTAATACCCGTAATAGTGCGTAATGGTGCGTAATAGTCAATAATATAGCGTATTACCGAGTAATAGCTGCCCAGTAAAAAAAACTAATTCAAATGAATTGAAACGAATTAACATTTTTGGTAGGCTCCAATTCGTATTTGTCACAAAGCGGGATTCACTCAAGCTCTTTGTATATTCAATTGAATTTAATTCAATATGTACCAATTTGTCCAAACGAATTCGCATTCGAAAGAAATGGCCAAGGAATGCATTGAATTCGTGCTAACGAATTGAAAAAAATTAAAGGCTCAAAACTTGTCCAGTGAATTGGTACGGATAGAAGGTTCGGAAGTTCAATACAGTTTCACGAATTCAGGAAAATTGCATCATGGCTCCAATTCGTATTTGTCACAAAGCGGGATTCACGAAAGCTCTTTGTGAATTCTTTTTAATTCATTTCAATTAGTTTTCGTTTACTGGGTGTGTAATAGTAAGTAATATCGTGTAATAGTATTGTTATTTGCATAGTTCAATTAACACAGAAATTTGACTCTTATAAATATGGATGTTCATGGGTTCTATGATATTAAAAATTATATTTGTACAGTACCACGCCCTCAAATAGAGGAAAATAATTTTAAGTTACTATGTACATTAAACTCGATTTTAAATGCTTCAAGTGTTTCATGATTTAAAACAATGTTCTCGTTTGCTTTATAATTTTTTATTCTTGTAAATTAATGAAAATTTTTCATTTCGTTTCATGTGCATTATTTATTTATTTAAAGTAAATATTAGGGTAAGTGTGGGTATTTCTGTGGGTGCGTGAGTTACCGTGGTTTCGCTATTTTTGTCAAATTTTACCATTTATATTCCAATTTGTTAATCAAAAAATTCAGATAGTTACTTTCATATTGTATGTGTTTAATAAATAAAAAATTATTGTTATTTAACTTACATTTCTCGTTTTAAAAACTTCTAAATTTTGTAGGTGCGGAAAGTTTGATAAATTGCTCATTGTAATGCAAAAATACAGTTTTATATAAATCGTTTTTTTCATTATTAATACTTTTAAACTTGTTAATTTTTGTATATTCGATTAATTAATGTATTTTTAAAGTCAAAACTTCGTGGTAAATTATGATTTAACGTATTTTTATTTTACCAACACGGTAATTGGATAACGTTTTGAACTTTTTCGCGCCAAATACCGTGGGTCGTTATTATCATTAAAAATAATATGTAAAGTGACAAATCGTGCTTTTCAAGTTAAAGGAGAACCGCAGGAATTAAAAAATAATTTCAAAATGATTTAGACCAAATACTATTGTTATTTTAATAATAATTACTATTTTCATAAAAAATATTTAATTAAATATTATTAGGTATGTATGTACTAAATAAAGGCACTAAATAAAGTTATTAATAGATTTATAACGAATTCTGTGATTATTATTAGTATCTGCTAAAATATAAGAATATTTATTGTTAAATTAATAAACCATTGTTTCAAATTTGCTTAATTTCATTCAACCGTTTGCTAATTCTACAAGTTGAAATTTTCGCGGTATAAGGCACACGGTAACTAGATCATCCACGGTATTCCGATCATGAAGCTTTGTGCACCACGGTAATACCAGCACTTGCATTACTTTCAAAAATATTTATTATTTAATAAAATATACGCATTACGACATTGTAAATTTTTTTATTATATCAAATATTGATATCAATCTATTGACTAAGTCTGAATTAGATTTCAAACCACGGTAATACCCACATTTACCCTATGTACTTATAACTGAATTTTATTATTTATTTCATCCAAAATACTCAGAATTACACCTGTAATATTGTGTAATATTCCTGTAATATAGCGTAATATTCGGGTAATATAACGTATTGGCGTATAATACTAGCGTAATAGGCGTATTAGTCATGTATTAGCCGTAATGTGCGTAATAGGGATTACTGTGTACACCGTTTTTCTTATAAAATACCCCCTCGGAACATCTTGTAGGTGAGCTGAGGTAAAAATATTGACGTCGTACTTATTTTTAAATTTGTAAATTTAGCTGAAACATCTACTGTTTACATTTACCCCTTGTTTACATTTACCCCAAATGACCTTAAAAAGGAAAATTATTTCAAAAGTTAGAAAACAAAAAAGCAAGCAAACAAAATAATTGAATTTTTGAAAAGAATTTTATGAAAATTGTATTTAAAATAATTGAATTATTATTAATATAGATTTTATTATTTTCTTCAATATTTTTTTATTAAAATTTCTTTAATATTTAATAATATTTAATATTTTAATTTCTTTAATATTTAGGTCATATTGTACGTTATAGTTTGAACGATTTAATAAAATGTTTTAATTTGTTTCTTCCAGTGACAATTTTCGAGTTCGATAAAAGATTCAGCGCTTTTGGTTCGGATTTTATTTACTACGATTATAACGAACCCTTAAATTTTCCTTCACAATTAAAGGAAAATTACGATTTAGTAATAACAGATCCGCCTTTCTTGTCTGAAGAATGTTTCACGAAAACTGCTTCAACAATCAAATCAATAGCGAAAGAAAAAATTATAGTCTGCACAGGTAAGAAAGTAAAAATGCCAAAACATATAAATTTAATTCCATAATTCAAAATATGATTTAAAAAAATAATTTTTCAAATTTACTGAAACTTTTGCTTTTCTTTTTTAGGTGCAATTATGGAAGAACACGTTGAAAAATTATTGAATTTAAAAAAATGTGAATTCTTACCAAAACATAAAAATAATCTAGCAAACGAATTTTTCTGTTACGCAAATTTCAGTCTCGATAAATATTTGAAATAAATAATTTTATAAATATTGTGATTTTCTATTGGAATTTAGAAACTGAACGATGATGAATAAGATGAATAATTTGAAAAATAAATACAATATATAAATAGTAGAAAAATCTACAATATGAGAAAAAGGAAAAAAAATTCAAAATAAGAGGAAAATTCAGGTATCACGAAATTCTTTATTTCCCAATAAATATTTAACAAACAATAATTAATACTAAAAATGTAACTTTACAATATTTAAAGACGTGATCGAATCACTGTCTCCTCTCTTTCTCTCTCATTCATTTTTTTCCAGACAATGAGTAGCACAATAGATCAGAAGTATGCGCGCAAAATTTCAAAAGGAAACCTACTTGCAAACACCATAAAAAAGTTGCTTGATTACAATTTCATAAGCAAATTATATTCCACACTGCAAACGGCTAAAAATTGTTGTCTGGCAGTATTTTCAATTTCGTAAATAAATATATACATTCATGACGTTTAAACTCAGGCAACAAGAACAAATAAAAAATTTTACTTTTTAAAGGAATAATTAGATTAGAAATTGATTTTATTCAAAACAAGTATGTAATCCCCGCTTTCTCGGCGCGTTTTTGAGACGCAAAGTATGCCTTTACTTCAAGCAGCAGTTTTACGGTTCTAGGACGGTAAAGACTACTTTCTCGTCCTAGGACCGTAAAACTACTACTTGAAGCAAAGCCATGCTTTACCTCTCAAAACGCACCGAGTAACCGCGGATTACATTCTCGTTTTGTATAAAATGTCGTGTGTACCTCGGACGCACGCATTTCTCGTCCTCGCTTGTTTACAGTACTCGGCTTCGCCTCGTACTGCAAAATCAAGCTCGGACGAGAAACTTGCGCTTTGCGTCCTCGTTGCACAATGTACTATTTTTCCTCATTCGATTAAAATAAATTATTTTTCATTAATAGACATTTTTTTTAAACTTGCAAAATTAATTTATTTCGAGTAAGGAAATTATGGAATAGTCTAAATTTTGTAACGAAAAATCGTTTCACAAATAACATTTAAAAAAAAGAGATGAATCGACAACTCTTTGGCAATTAGCCATTAACAATTTTTTTTATTCTCAGAATTGAAAGAAAATGACGATTTCAAAAAAAAAAAAAAAACAAACAAAAAAGAAAACAAATTTTGTTTTTAAACGAGACGACATACAAAATGGTTTCTAAGCCGAAAGAAAATTGATGTCAAAATTTCTCTTCAGTCGCTTAAATATCTTAAATAATTTTTCTCTTCTAATTTTTTAAATCGCAACACTATACAATTTTGATTCAATCTCGTGATAATTTTATTTATTAACACGAGTATTACAAAGACTAGACTACAATTTTCAATTGTCAGAATTATAAATTTTTACCGCTTCATAAAAAATTGTTCTTTTTTCGCATATACGTATATATATTGCACATATATTCTCTCTCTTTCTTTCGTCGTAACATTCAGTTTTTTCAGAGTCTCTAAAAAAATTTTTTTTCTTTCCACTTTTTCAAATTTTTCTTTTTATAAGTAATTAAGAATTTTTCTCTCTTTTGACAATTATTCAACGTTAGAAATAATTCTAAATATTCAACAAATAATAAATTTTTTAACAATTCTAATTAGTTTCTAATTTAAAAAAATATATTCTTTTTGAATTCTCGTCTTTTTTTGAGAATGAGGTGAAAGAAATTATTCTTTTGATTTCATGCGCAAAGTCGTGCAAAAGTATAAGGGGAACATTTTTTTAAAAAAATGTTTTAAAAATAAATAAGCGAAAATAACTTTATGAAATTGAAGGAATAATTTCTTTTTTCTCGTTGAGAATGAAAATTTTTGTTATGGATCAAGTGGATAGTAATGCCATTCGTTTAAGCTTTAATAGAGAGCTCTTGGTGAAGCGATGACGTTTTTATAAGATCGCGCTGTTTACAGTAGGTACTTAAGAAGGTTTAAATGCTTCGAGATTGCTCAATTTAACGCAATTTCATTTCTCCGAAATATTTATTTTATTCACTCGTTGCTTCTTTTTAATATATAGGGGATCGCAAGGGAAATTTCAGAACAGTGAAAAACTGTGGTTTTTCGTTAATAAAAATTACTTTCTTTACTTTTCCAATTTATCAAATTTTAAATTCCATCTCGTTTTTAACTTTCAGATTTTTTTTAAAATTTTAATTCAAAGATTTTTTATTTCCTCATTTATGTTGAATTTTATTTTATTTTTTGACTTTTTTTTTGTTTTATATTTTCTTCGATTTTTCGTGTTTTTTTTATTTAAAAAGTATTTTATTAATAAATAAATTTTTGTAAAAAAACGAATGGAAAATCTTTTATTATATACAATTTTTCAATTTGAATTTTATTTGAAAATTATGAAATATTATTTAATCTTTAATTTAATTTTTTGCAGATTATATTCGAAAAATGGTCTTTGAGAAAGTCTCAAAAGGAATGTAGCCATTGTGAACGGAACACAAAAGAAAATTAATCTGAAAAATTAGAAAGAGAGTGAATTTAAAAAGAAAAAAAATTGGAGAAAATAGAACATTTTTCACTGCAAATTTTGAAATTTTGGAAAACTTAATTTTTTTCCTTCGACTTTCGATTATTGAAAATTCGGCAACAAATATTTTTTTCAAGGAACATTAAACGCTTAAATTGGCCATTGTCTTACGAAAATCTGCAAGTGAATTATAATCGGGATCTAAATCGATATCGGCAAAGTCTTTATTCGAGCTACTATTCGCTAAATTTGGATTGTAACGACTTAGGGATAAGGGACATGGCAAAAGTTCTGGCATGACAGAATGATGCGTTATGAGGGCTGGCAGTGACGAGAATTCCTTCTTGAAACCCTGCAAAGAAAAAAGAGGAATGAGATTAAAATAATCTTCTCAGTATACACAAAAAAGTATAAAAATTTTAGTCTATTTTATTAGAATTAAAAAAATATTTTTTTCACAATTGTTTAGAATTATCTTTTGCAGAGAATGAAATTTAAAATTAAAAATCTGCCCGCCCCTCGGGCGGACACATTCTCATCCGCGCTTCGCGCGGGAGGCTCGCTTCGCTCGCAAGTTTCAGCGCGCCTCGGGGCGCGCGAATTTTGGTCGTCGTGCTTCGCGCTCCAAGGATTGTTGCGCGCTTCGCTTGCAGTCATCCACGACCGTTGTGCATTATTTGCGTTCTTTTCCTTTTTTCTATTATATGTTTCAAGGAATTATTTTTTCTTAAAGTTACTACGACTTTAAGGATTACATTCTCATCACATATTTTTGTTTGCTGATAATTGCGAGATTAAGTGAACTTAAATGCAAGTTTTTGTTCTTGCTGATCGAAAATGAGAAATTATTTTAACTACTAAATATTTTCGCAGAAATATGGGTTGTTGAAGAAGCTACAATATTTTAAAAATACAAGTCGGGTAACAGTGGCAAGCCTTAAGCCGCTCACTGCTACTTGACTAGTATTATTCCTGTCAACCACGCGTTCGTCCCCTTATTGCAGCCAGCCCTTCATTTGTCAATAACAATTATTTGTATAAACTGCTGCTCAAATTGATTAAATCATAAAATATCTTCATGTTTTTATGAACATCTTAATTATTTGCAAAATTTAAAAATAACCCTAGTTTTTAGGTGCTTTAGATAAGAAAAATAATAAAATAATAATAACTACATAGTATACTTCTTATGAGATTCAATGCAATTCAAGGGGTAAAACATATAAAAAATTCAAATTGTTTATAAAATTATTATTAAAAATATGAAATTTTTAAATTTACAATCATGAAAATATTTTCATTTGAAAGAGTGAACTACTATGTGTAGTCAGTGTAAATTTCATTAATTTACTGTAAACGCATTTTAAGTTATTAATTATTTTTTAAAATGATGTAGTATTCTGTTCTAATGCAAACAAAAAATTTCAAATTTAAAAAATCGGGCAAGTGCGAGTTGCACTCGCATTAAGATCGAGGGTTCCCGTACACCAAAATAAAACTCATTTTTTATAAAAAAAAATATATATAAGAAATATAATTGATTAATATTAACATATATAAACCTATTGAGCTGAAATTCGGTACACATATGTATTTTTATTACATATAGATTAAAAAAAAACTATAACTATAATCCACATTAATATTAACATATATAAACATATTGAGCTGAAATTCGGTACACATATGTATTTTTATTACATATAGATTAAAAAAAACTATAACTATAATCCACATTGAATTCTTATGTTTCATTTACAAATAACAAAAAATATATATTTTACCTAGAGATAATATTTAAAATAATATATTGGATATAAACTAACAAAAGATACTTATATTATTAATTATAATAATAATAATAATAATATTTTTTTTACCTATCTTCATTTTTTTTATCTATAGCTCATATTCAAATAAATTTTGTTATTTTTAATTATTTCAACAATTCTTAAAAATATAAAAAAAATAATTAAAAAAATGCTAATATATTTTTTTAAATTTGGAATAAATATTTTTATTATTTTATTTTATATTATTTTTTTATTTTCTTTTTATTTTATTTTATTTTTATTTTTATCTTCGCCAATCACATTATCTTTATTTTTCTGTAATTTGCACTTAAAAAAAATATACAAACTGAATTTTAACTCACCACATTGAAATTTATAAAAGTTAAATTAGTGACACTGTAGTTTTTTTAAAAAATTCAAATTCTTGCCCTTAAATTTCGCAAATATCTCAAACAATTATGTTCGCTATATTTTTTTTACCTTAATCTTCACTTAAAAATGAAGATCCCTACCGAATTTCAGCTCATCAAATTAAGATTCCTAAAAGTTCAAAAGGGGGAGAGAAAAGTGTCATTTTTTGCAATTTTTTCGTAAAAATTAAATTTCTTTCCCTCCTAGTTCGCAAATATGTCCGTCAATCGAGTTCGCTATATTTTTACCTCAATCTTCACTAAAAAATGAAGATCTCTACCGAATTTCAGCTCACTAGGTTGAGATTTATAAAAGTTAACCGCAGGAACAGGGTCATTTTTTGTAATTTTTTCAAAAAAATTGAATTTCTTTCCCTCCTAGTTCGCAAATATGTCCGTCAATCGGGTTCGCTATATTTTTCCTGTAATCTACACTTGAAACTTAAGATCCCTACCGAATTTTAGCTCATAAGGTTGAGATTTGTAAAAGTTAAGGGGGGGGGACAGGGTCATTTTTTGCAATTTTTTCGAAAAAATTGAATTTCTTTCCCTCCTAGTTCGCAAATATGTCCGTCAATCGAGTTCGCTATATTTTTCCTGTAATCTGCACTTAAAACTGAAAATCCTTACCGAATTTCAGCTCACCAGGTTGAGATTTGTAAAAATTAAGGAGGGGGGACAGGGTCATTTTTTGTAATTTTTTCTAAAAATTCAATTTCTTTCCCTCCTAGTTCGCAAATATGTCCGTCAATCGGGTTCGCTATATTTTTCCTGTAATCTACACTTAAAACTTAAGATCCCTACCGAATTTTAGCTCATAAGGTTGAGATTTGTAAAAGTTAAGGGGGGGGGACAGGGTCATTTTTTGCAATTTTTTCGAAAAAATTGAATTTCTTTCCCTCCTAGTTCGCAAATATGTCCGTCAATCGAGTTCGCTATATTTTTCCTGTAATCTGCACTTAAAACTGAAAATCCTTACCGAATTTCAGCTCACCAGGTTGAGATTTGTAAAAATTAAGGAGGGGGGACAGGGTCATTTTTTGTAATTTTTTCTGAAAAATTCAATTTCTTTCCCTCCTAGTTCGCAAATATGTCCGTCAATTGGGTTCGCTATATTTTTCCTGTAATCTGCACTTAAAACTGAAGATCCCTACCGAATTTCAGCTCACTATATAGGTTGAGATTTGTAAAAGTTAAGAGGGGGGACAGCCCATTTTGCGTAGCTGGGACGGACACACGAATGATTTCATAAGGGTTCCGTCAGTACACCTATGGTGTACGGAACCCTAAAAACGGTTAAAAGTTTTATTTTATTTATTCTAAACAACAGATATTTATAAAAGTTTTAAGATTTTAAAAAACAATAAATTTTTTTTAACACAGTAGTATTTTTTTAACATATAAAGTTAAAAATTCTGAAATTTGAAAAAATTGAGTTTTCAAAATTTTGAAACTACCGTAGTTTTTGTAGTTTTCAACGAAAATGGCTGGTTAACGAACTTAACCTTCATTTTTACACTAACTTTAAGTGTGTTAAATTTAAAAACGATCAGATAAGATTTTCAAAAGTTATTGTGTCAACAACATTTTGGTCTACAGACGGACATACATACATACATACATACATACAGACAGACACACAGACGGACTCGCCGGACCATGTTTTTCGGGTTCAGGGGACCTCAAAACGTAAAGATTTCATAAAATTAGCAAAAGTCAATTTTCGACCAAAACTAATACTTTCTCATGTGATGAGAATGTAAAAAATTCACGACTAATTGTTTAAATAAGTCATTGAATAAATTTTACTGCAAATTTTAATGAGAAAAGAAATTCAACCAAAACTTAAAATTATTTCAAACTTGATTAATTCAAATTTCCAATTATTTGTATTTTAGTTTATTAAAAATTTCAAATTATTTAAATTTCAATCCATCAGAATTCAACTTTGATTATTTTTCAATTATGTAGTATTTTTAATTTATTAATTAATATATTTATTCAAAATTATACAGGCAAAGCCCATTTATATCGTTTTCTAGTTTAATTTTTTAAAAAATCAATCGATCCAATATTTCTTTTTTAATTTCAAACTATTGAAACTTAAAATGATCGAAAATTTATCCGAAATTTAATGAATTCAAATTTCTATTTTATGCAAAATTTACTTTAAAATTTGAAAAATTAATCGAATTTTTAATTAATCCACAAATCAATTTAATAATACATAATAATAATTAAAATTTATTAATTATTTATTATTAATTTATCCAATTTTTAATATATCTAAATGGAAATTCTATAATAACAATTTTAAACTACATATTTGAGTCAAAGTTGATGACAAATTTAATTAATTCTAATTTTAATCAATTTAAATTTCAAATGATCAAATTTTCAACGAATTTAAATTCCAATTTTTAAGAAATTTAAAACTATTTTAGTTAAAATTTATGAAAAATATAATTAATACAAATTATAATTTATTAAAATTTCAATTATTCTAATTTCAATAAATTCAAATTTTCATAAGTAAAATTTTAATCGATTTAAATTTTAATTGATCAAAGATTCAATGTATATCTAAATTTCTATTTATCCAAATTGAAATCCTGGTAAAATTTGAAACTATCTAAGCAACAATTATTAATAAAAGAAATTTAATTAATCGAAAATTAAATTAAATTAAAATTTTAAACTATTCATTGCTAATTGATCGAAATTGTAATTAGATACATATTTCAAATTTTAATTTATTCAAATTTCAATTAATCAAATTTTCAATTATTCAAATTTTAATCAATAAATTTTTTAATCCATTTAATTATTAAAGCAACAATTATTAGATTATTAACAAATATTATAATTTAACAATCTAAAATAAAAAATTAGTTATTTATAGATTATTGTAGAAAAAACTACTTCTTATTGATTAAAAGTAAGTTTTTTTCAAATTTATTTTCTAAGAAAAACTGAATTTTATTTATTTTATATCAACTTCTATGTAGAATTAAAAAATTAACTTTTAGAAAATTTATGTGACTTTTGTTTTAATTATGTAACTCTTTACTAATTGAAATTTAGTGAATAAGTTTTATGATATTATTGCAACAAAATATAGAAATTTATTTTTTATAATTTTGCCTTTCTTTTTTAAAAGATAACATTTTTGATAACTTTTTTCACTAATTTTTATAAAAAATACTTTCTATTATGATTTTTGTCACTTTTTGTAATTTTAAATCTGAAATAATTTAATTCTTGCATAGAATTAACAAAATTGAATCTTTTCAAATTTTTTCAACATTTCAACGAATTTAATTAAAGTTGTATTTTAAATAATTCAATTCTTATATAGAATTTTTATTAAATTAAATTCTTTGGAGGAATTCAATTAAAATTGCATTGAATATACAGTAGAACCCGGTTAATACGATTCTGTAGGGACCGCGCTAAGAATGCGTCTTATGCGGGAAAACGTATTAAGCGGGAAATAAAATGTATGTCTTTAATTGCAGGGACCACTATAAATGAGCGTTTTAAGCGGGAAATCGTATTAACCGGGTTCTACTGTAATTGAATTCTTATAAAGAATTTTATGAAATTTTAGACAATAATTGAGGCCTTGGATCCAATAACTCGCCCGACGCTTGGAGGAACGCGCAACTGCCAGTCAGTGAGCAGTGAGCGCCTCTGGGCCACTCACTGCTACCCGACTGGTATTGGCGCGTGACTTCGAGCGTCGGGCGAGTTATTGGATCCAAGGCCTCAATTGTATTGTTTTGAAGAATTATGTGAAAATTTTTGAAAATAATTTAATTCTTTGGAGGAGTTCAATTAAAATTGTATCGAGAATATAAAATTGAATTCTTATAAAGAATTTTATTATTTATGAAAATAGTTAAATTGTAGTATTTTAAATAATTTAATTCTTATGCAGAATTTTATAAAAATTCATTATTAAAAATAATTTTTATTTTATTAATGAATATTTTTATGAAAATAAACAAATTCTTGCGAAGAATTTTATTAAAATTTTAGAAAATAATTTAATTCTTTCTCCTATTTTAATTTGACTGCAAGATTGGAATTGTTTGCAATATTTGAAATTAATTTATCAAAGCAATTTTTATTTTTTCAGAAATACTGTTTAGGAAAAATTTGAGGAAAAAGGAAAGTGAATAATAAAAATAATAAATATTGTTACGCAAGGGAAGAAAAGAGATTTATTATTATTAATATGTTTGAAATGGTTAATGATGCGTTTAATAAAATATGAATAATGAAGTAATAAAGGAGAGGAATGAAATGTAATGAAATGAAGGCAGTGTATTTTTGTTAAAATTAATGGGAATTAACTTACTTTGATTTTGTAGCCTTTGTTCGTACGTAAAATGAGATAATGAGCTATACCGCTTGGTTGAAATTCCCGTGGAACTCGTAGGGAAAGAGCAAAACACCCGGGTTTACTCGTGCTTTCACGAACCATGAATGCTCCTTCTGGCTCTTGGTTCAACACCTCCAGTGTTATTTCCCTATATCATAAAGAGAAGTCATTAAATTACAAAAGCAATTCTACCCTCCCCCTTAGCGAAAAAAAATTCTCCTATTATTATAATTCCACACTTCTTGTATTTCAAAATTATACACACCCGGAATTTATTCCTTTCTTTTTATTCAAAAATTATTCAAAGGTATCTACTTTCGCTTTTTAGAAATTTTGCTTATTTTTTTCCTTATACAATAGAACAAAAAATTCTACACTGAATTTAAAGTACAAAATTAATTTTTTATAACTTTATAATACAAATTTAATTATTTATATTTCACGACCATAAATTTATGGTTAAAAAAAAAATAAAATAAATAAATAAATAAATAAATAAATAAATGAATAAATAAATAATAAATAAATAAATAAATAAATAAATAAATGAATAAATAAATAAATAAATAAATAAATAAATAAATAAATAAATAAATAATAATAATAATAATAATAAATAAATTTATGATTAGTGAATATAAGTTATTTAAAATTTATGACCATTAAATTCTTCTGCCTCAAATTTGAACTTTTAAATAAACGAATATTTTTTCTAATATTATGTAGGTACCTAATAATAATCGAGATCTTTTATTCCAAATTTTTTTTCAAGCTCAAAAAGTTGACAAAAATCTGACAATTAATTTGTAAATAAAGTGATTAGTGTTTTAGTGAAATTAATTTCCCTAGAAGTTTTACAATAACAGTATTTTCATAGGATATTAAATTATTCAAAATCTTAAATAGTCTGAATTTTCTTTCTCAAATTAAAAAAACCTCAATATATAGTTACAATTTTTAGAAATAATCAATTATTATTCAATTTTGTATTTAAATAATTGAATTCTCATACAACTTTTTAATAAGAATTGATTTGAAAAAGAATTTCAGTTTAAATTTTAGAAAATATTTCAAGAATTAGGTAGGTACAGTTATAATTTTAATTAAATTTCAAAAGGTTTTACATTAAAAGTAATTTGAAATTTTAATTCTTAACCCTTTAACGTCCAGCGGTACATATGCTGTACCATAAAGAATAAAAAAACCTATCTTCAAATAGGGTTAATATATTTAATTACAAAATGATATCTAGGGGTTTTCGGGGTCGCTGATTACGAATCTGATGTCAGATTTTAAAAATTCAAAATGGCGGATCCAATATGGCGTACCGAAAAATTTAAAATTTGATGGATTTTCATGAAACTTGGTATGTAGGGGTTTTCGAGGTCCCTGATTACGAATCTGATGTCAAATTTTAAAAATTCAAAATGGCGGATCCAATATGGCGGACAAAAATATAAAATTTGATGGATTTTCATGGAACTTGGTATTTAGGGGTTTTTGAGGTCGCTGATTACGAATCTGATGTCGGATTTTGAAAATTCAAAATGGTGAATCCAATATGGCGTATCGAAAAGTTTAAAATTTGATGGATTTTTATGAAACTTTGTCTTTAGGGGTTTTCGATGTCGCTGATTACGAATCTGATGTCAGATTTTGAAAATTAAAAATGGCGGATCCAATATGGCGGACGAAAATTTACAATTCGATGAATTTTCATGGAACTTGGTATCTAGGCGTTTTCGAGGTCGCTGATTGCGAATCTGATGTCGGATTTTGAAATTTTAAAATGGTAAATCCAATATGGCGGATAGAAAAATTTAAAATTTGATGGATTTTTATGAAACTTAGTATGTAGAGGTTTTCGAGGTCGCTGATTATGAATCTAATGTCAGATTTTTAAAATTCAAAATGGCGGATCCAATACGGCGGACGAAAATTTAAAATTAGATGGATTTTCATGGAACTTGGTATCTAGGGGTTTTCGAGGTCGCTGATTACGAATCTGATGTAGGATTTTGAAAATTAAAAACGGCAAATCCAATATGGCGGATAGAAAAATTTAAAATTTGATGGATTTTTATGAAACTTAGTATGTAGAGGTTTTCGAGGTCGCTGATTACGAATTAGATGTCATATTTTCAATATTAAAAATGTCGCATTTATAGATAATGGATAAATTTTAGAAACTGTATTAGGTCTTTAATAATTTTTAAATACGAAACTAACTTACACTTTGCGTGACCCAGAACTAACGACGTGGACTTAGTAAGCCACTAGTTCCAAGCTACATTGGATTTATAATCAGCTACCACAAAAACCCCTACATACCAAGTTTCATAAAAATCCAACGAATTTTAAATTTTAGGTCCGCCATATTAGATCCGCCATTTAAAATTTTTAAAATCTGACTTAAAATTCGTAACCAGCGAACCCGAAAACCCCTAGATACCAAGTTCCATGAAAATCCATCGAATTTTAAATTTTCGGTCTGCCATATTGGATCCGCCATTTTGAATTTTTAAAATCTGACTTAAAATTCGTAATCAGCGACCCCGAAAACCCCTAGATACCAAGTTTCATAAAAATTCACCAAATTTTAAAATTCTGGTCCGCCATATTGGATCCGCCATTTTGAATTTTTGAAATCTGACATCAGATTCGTAATCAGGGACCCCGAAAACCCCTAGGTACCAAGTGTCATGAATTTTGAATGGAAAAAAAAATTTGGACGTTAAAGGGTTAATGGACAAAAAAATAACAATAAATATATAAATATTTATTAAACAGAAATTAGTAAAATTAAAAATTTATTTTAGAAATTACAAGCGCGAAACATGAGATTCCATTTATTATTACATATTATGCATATTATCAAATTTTTTTTTTAATATTTACACTCGACTCTCGGATCTTTTGCACTTATGGGACCAAATCCTCTCATATCTTTTACCAAAACAAATGCAATGGTAATGCAAAACAATACAATATACATAACCAAATATATAAATTAATGACAGTATTTATGTTTTAGTTTTAATATTTACATTTATAGTAATTAAACTTTTAATGTAATTTTAATCACATAATGGATAGAGGTGTGCAAAAACTCGAATAGCATGGTCGAGCTCGAGCCGGGCTCGATACTCTCGAGTTTTAGTTACTCAAAAATATTTGAGTGCTCGAAAAATTCAAGTGCTCAAAATTATTTTAGGTTTAATACTGCACGTGTCGGATGGAATTTGGTTCAAGTTCGGATTGATTCTGCTCAGCTCTGCTAGAAAAACGAAAAGCTTGAAATACTCGATCGAGCTTTTTGCACAACTCTTTAATGGAGAAGCTGCTATAATTCACTTTAGATAACCTAAGTTATCGTGAAATAAATATTTTGACACTCTGATAGTCATTTATTTATTTAATGTAAAAGGTAAAAGGTGCGGGAGAAAAATTGCAAAAGAATCGAGAGTGTAAAAGATCTGAATGCAAAAGATCCGAGAGTCGAGTGTACTTCAATTTTTGAATAATTACAGATTCAAAATTAAAAAAAATTCTCTTATTAATTATTACAGTTTATTATTTTTTAAAATTTAAATAAAATTTAAATAAAATTATTGTTATTTTTTAAAATTTTTAGAAAATTGTACGTATAATAAAAAAAAATTTGTTTACCTAGGGATTCCTGCTTGAAACCAGGGGGCTTTCCTCAATTCACTTTCCTCGCTTCGATTATTAAGACTATCAGTTCTTTCCGGAAGTGGAGGTGGTGTTGAGGTCACTTTGTGCAAAAGTCCATCTACTGGACCGGAAACACTTGGACTCAATTGTGACTTATTCTTCTTTAATCGCATCTCCGTTTCTGTCTCCGAACTTGGAGAACTTGGTACCACTCTGAAATGAGTAAAAAATCTTCTAATTTTCTCGTTAAAAAATTAAATTTGAGGTATTTTGAATATAATTTTAAGAAAATTTCAGAAAAGGATTCAATTATTAAAAAAAAATGTTTCGAAATAATTAAATTTTGTAAAATTTAAATACAATTCTATGCAAGAATTTCATTATTTTTATAAACAATAAGATTCTTCCCAGGAATTCATTTATTTTCAATACAATTTTAATAAAATTTCACTGAAGGATTCGTGATTTTTTTTAATTTTTAGAAAGAATTAAATTTTGTAAAAATTTTAACAAAATTCTTCGAAACAGTTCAATTATTTTTCCCATACAATTTTAATAAAGTTTCTCAAAAAAATTCAATTATTTTCCAGAAATAATAATCAAAATCATTAAAAAAATTTTTAATTACAATTATTAACAAAAAGGTTTATTTTAAAAACTTGAATTTAATTTGTTTTAAAAATTGTAATAAAATTTTGAAAAAAATTTACTTTTTTTGGAAATTTCATTAAATTCTTGCGTTAAAATTCAATTATTCTCATAAATATTAATATTCTTTGCAATAATTCAAAAATTTTAATATGATTCTGGACGAGCATTCATTTATTTTCACAAATGATAAAATTTTTTGGAGGAATTCAATTATTAAAAATTTGAAAGAATTCAATTATAATTAAATTCTTTAATTTAATACAATTTTAATAAATTTCTCGAAAGAATTCAATTATTGAAAAATATTTTAATAAAATTCTGCGAAGAAATTTATTATTTTCTGTAAATTTAGTATTTAATAATTCAAGTTTTAAGTGCAATTTTCATTAACAAACACAATTATTTTAAAATTTGAAAGAAATTATGCGTTGCCTCAAATTCAAATTTTTTCAACATTTTCAATTAAAAATATTAGTAAATAAATACTCCATTATTTTCAACATATTTAAAGAAATTCTTTAAAAAAAATCCACGAGAATTCAATTATTTTTAAAAATTTGACCAAATTATTTAAAAAAAAAGAAAATAAATACATAGGATAAAATTTATCATTACTGTTATTAGGCATTTTATTTTATAAATATTTGTATAACTTATAGATCTTTTTATCTATTATTATTCATTTAGAGATAATTAAAAATTTAATGAGAGACCATTAAAAAAAAAGAAATGCATAAAATTCACTTGGAAATCGTAATAACTGTTTAATGAAATTTGTTGTCTAACAGGGGACGAAATGAGTTTGAGTGGATAATTTAGCATCGTGTGGTGACATTTTTTTCATCGCCTATTGAAGTATATGACTAGCCACGTAGGGGTTTGCGCAAGTAATGGAGGACTCTGGGGGTCATGGAACAAGATTTATAAGAGTGGTTCAATCAGCCGTGGATCATGAAGATAAATTGCATTTTTTCTCTTTTTTTTCTTCTTCTTGGCCGAGTTCCGATGAAACATTATCGAACCCAAACGTATTGAGCTTTAGTCAATAAAAAAGAAAAAAAAAGACTGGAACTTCATGTCTTCAATGAAATAAAAAATTTAATTCTTGTTTATGAGAGGTATTGCAGAGGTACCATTTTTGAAATGTGACAGAAATATCTCTAAAAGTGTCTACTTTAAGATATAATTTTTCTAGATTTTTAAATAAAGCGGGTGTGAAGTAGAAATTGGTTACTTTGGGGTAATTGGACAATTTTTTCTTAGTTGTTTGTACAATATGATGTTTTAAACATGCCTAAGGTAGTAAAAGTTATTGCATTGAGAATGGTTTACATTATTCTAGTGTTGGGGCATTTTACATGTCAGAAATATGACAATTTGCAAAACGTAGGCCGATTTTTGCAAAACTTCGTGGAATTATAGTTGTATATATATGGGTGATTCTTCTGAAAGTGCCACTTTTGAAATTCGATTTTGCAACTAATTTTTTTTTTAAATTATATGGTTTTTTTTATTGAACTTACTTTATTTCATACTCAAGAGTAAGAATTCAAGTTGCGCAAAATTAATTATTATAAATATTAAAGTTATAGCACATTTTTTAATTTAAGGTTAAGAAGGAAAATAAGTTTGATAAATTTTGATTAAATTATATTATTATTGCAAATTTTTTAGTAAAAAAAAGTCACTTTTGTTAAAACGAAATTTATTTACACAATTCATAAACTTTTACATTAAACAATTAAATGAAAAAAATTATTGCTTTTTAACTTTCTTATTTTTTTACTTTTTTTGAAGCAGTTTTATGTTGTTTGCTCTGCCTTTTTCGTTTTTCAACAACTTCTGATGGTGTAGCTTGAATTTCTATTTCTCCTAAATAGAAATGTTTACACTTTTCTTTTACGCTGCAGTCATAACAACTCATTTCATTGAATCGAATCAAGTTTGGGTATAATGTGTTCCACTTCCACTGATGAACTTTCATGGTTCCTTTAAATGTCTTGATTGTTTTTGGTACTAGTGCACTTATTTGATTAATTTCATCTTCACCAACTTTACCGATGAAAATATTCTTACATTTTTCTTGAATTACATTTACAAGAGTGTCATAATTATGGACATCTTTGCCATGAGCTACAATAGAATCTGCCGTACGTTTTATGAAACCACCAATTCCATCGGCTGGACCTTTTCCATGGCCAGATTCAGAATAATTATAGATTATGTTTTGTAAATTGTAGGCTCTGGAAAACTGAGTACAAAGTAACCAAAACATACTTTTATTCCGGTACTGAGTCGATGGCCCGTCACTTTGAAAATGAATTGTCTTCAAATTTGGAAAATTTTTTAAAATGTGTTCCATTACTAGATTTAAATGAGCTAAAATTGCTGCACAATCATGGCGTAAGTCTTTCGAAAATGTACAGAAACCCTGTGAAAAATTTTGAGCATAAAACATACCAGTATGTAAAGACACTTGTTCCCTTGACGCTCCGAAATGTACTGCTTGAGGTTCTTCTGCAAATTTACAATCATAATTTTCACTCCAGTCCATTAAAATAAAAATTTCTGTTTCAGAAAGTGCTTCTTTGATGCATTTTGTCGCATTAAATTGTCGATTGATGCGTTGAATGTGGGCCATAAAATCAACAAGCAAATTGGATTGAAAGTTTTTTTTCACATCGTTAATTGTCATTGCAGTTTCTTCTTTACAAGTGATTTGAACTGTTATTTCTTTCTTTGTTTTTGCCGAAATTCTGTTTTCCTTTTTCGTTTTCCATTTTTGGTATTTTACTTCACTCTTTCCATTTAAATTTTCTTTGAATTGTATTTTCTTCAGATTACATTTTTTACACCTACGTAGCATACAATCTTCGCTTTTCGGTTGGCACACAATGGAATCAATGACAGTTTCGATATTTTTACCAACAATAATATTATTTTTTATTAGTGAATTTGTAATTAAATGCATGTTTTCGTGTTTCATGCACAAGCAAGTATCACGATTGCTAATTTTTGGCGGAATTATCCAAAAAGGACGTAAAGTTGAAAAGTGTGAATAACTAATTTTAACATTCGGGTTTTCAAAGCAAAATTTTTTGTGAAGATCTTTTAATGGAGAATTAAGAAAGGACGATTGTTTCTTAATTTTATTTTTAGTAATACAATCTCTTTTACCTGGACGAATTCGACTGTTTTCTTCGTAAAATTTTATCACAATTTCCTCAAGATATTTTTGCTTCTGTTTTCGAATCATAACCTTCTTTCGCATTCTTTCTTTATAGGAGACCAGCAAATTAGAATTTTTTCTTTCACTATCTTTAAACACAGATCTAAGTTCTTGTTTTTTCTTATAATTTTTTGTATTTGTATAAATAGTTTTAAGTTTTTCTTTGAATTTTTCTCCTTCTACTAATTTTGTTGCAATCGTCGAATTAACTGTATCCTTGTCTAGTATTTTTTTTAATATTTTAGAGTTCTTTTTACGTACTGAATTGTTATTTGAATTATTTACTCTCAATAGTCTCTTTTGGACAGCTTTTAATTTTTTATCTAAAGATTTCACTTTTTCCGTTAACTGAATATTGTTTCTATACAATTTTGAATCCTGACTTTTCCTAATTCTTTTCCGTCCTCTTTTCGATTTTAAGTTTATATCGTGATTTTCAGATTTATTCGCTCTTATTTCACTCGATTCAATATTCTGAGATTTTTTCCTTTGATAACGACGAACTGCTTCCAAATTTTTTCCACGATGTTTCTTTAATTCCTCTTTCGTCATACTAGCCTTTGATTTTATTTTGCCATTCAATACTCTGAATTCAAATCTTTCCCTTTCTTTTTTCTTAATTAACTCATATTTTATTGGATCATTTTTTATTTTTTCTCTTCTTTTTCTCTGAGCTTCTCTTCGTTTTCTTAATTTATCTTCTGCTTTTTTTTCTGCGAAGAAGATTGAGTTTGTTGCTCCATTTTATTACTTTTACTTGGTTTGGGAGTTTTTCTATAAAAAAATACACGCTATTGTCATTTACGTATGATTCACACTATTTACAAAAATTATAATATGCACATTGTAATACTTACCAATTACATTCAGTTCAATTAAAAGACTAATATTGACGAATTGTTTACATTTGACGTATCTAGTTTGATAGTTATTTGCATTTATTTAGGTTAATTTTTTCAAAACAAGGCAGGTTAAGTATTAAAAACAGAAGAAAAACTCGCACATTCAAGGAAAAAGCTTCGGAGATGAAAAGCTTCGGAGATGAAAAATATTTTTTTTTTAATATTTATTCATGTCAGGGCACAATTAAAAAGTATTTGTTAGTAGAGTATACAAATATGATACCGTAATTTTATATTATCACCGAAACATTCCATTAAATTTAGTTGTATATTAAATTATTTAATAAAAAAGAAGGCTTCGGAGATGAAATTGAATTTTTACTCGGATCAATATTGAAAATTAGATTATTTCTAGAAGCAATATTTTTCTTTCTTTTTAAAAGTAATATATGAAAAAAGTAAACAGCAGACTCTCAGCTTTATTTCAATAT